GGCGTCGCCGTCGTGGTTTGCTAAAATCTCTAATGGATGTAATTGAACGGCAGCTCAAATTTCGCGCGTTAATATTTTATCTCGCGCGCTAACTCTTGAACTGCGTATTTAACATATTTATTTTAATTTGGCGCCCTAAATCTACAGATACCCAGTGCATCATGGCGGAGTTCTGCAATGAACTGATGGAGTGTTTCACGAGTGGATATCAAGCAATCACAGATCTCGAGTATAAAGAAAACATGTCGTATGATGAGATCGAAGCGGACATTGAAGAGATGAATACAAAATGGTCAACGCTGGAGGAAGAGACCCAGGCAAAAATAAAAGAAACTATAGAGTATTTTAGCCCTTTTCGAGAAAATGAACCGGAAGAGAGCAAATTTGACACAATTAAGGAAAGAACCTCGCAGCTAAAAGAGGAGTATCTAGCTCTTTTGACAAGGTAGGTTACCGCATGGCAAAGATTGCAGGTGTGTAGTGCCAGCTGTTGTTTTCACGCGGGGTAAACAGCTTTCCAACAGCAAGAGTTTCAGAATTTATTGTTACGTTCTTAGGAATTTGGCCTCTAGAATGAGAACTTTTAGGGCTTCACTGCGGGTGTCTGTTCCCCTGACGCCTTTTACCATGGCTTGTTGCCTAGTAATATAGGCCGTTTGTTTTTTCGTCAAAGCTGTTAGCCTCTAGCCTCTAGCCCCTAGGCTCTTCCAGGCTTTCAGTCAGTGCTTCAAGCCCCTCTTTCCTTTTTTTTCGCGCGCTGATTTTCGAGCTACGCCCCAATAAGCTAAACGCCTGAAGTTACTTGTTCCCTCAAATTAGTCCAAAACAATTTTCGTCATCCCCTTTAAACGCAGAGGGAATTTCCATGCTTGCACACGGTCGAGGAAAGCAGCCAAAACGAATGTAAAATTACAGTTGCATATGCCTGAATTTTATTTAGACGATCTTTGCGCCGAACAAAATCGTTCATTTTACACTTTTGCAATAACAGGAGAGAACCTCTATGATTAGAAACAGCCGAAGAGCCTGTGAAAGCTTTCAAAATCACTCAAAATAACGGCGAATACTTCAAAGATGGTTGAATCGGTCTTACACGTAATGGTGGATTAATGCAAACTTTGTAGCTCATTTTAGCTTTTCTTTCAGAAGCAATTCATAGCTACCAAAAGATAATTTCACAAGGGCAATCTTTTAAGGCTCCCCAAACCAATTTGTAAACTACAGGTACTGCTCTGTTTTAGGCGTCAGGTGTTAGTCAATTAAAATTGCACAAGAAAGAGGAATTTTCCACCTGCATATCCAGTGACTATTAAAAGGAAGCTAATTTGTCCGGCGAAGATAATAATTTTGTCTACACAATTGAACAGATTCTCCCGCCTCAAATAGTACGCTTGCTTACATCAAATATGATAACTCTAAGAGTTTAACAACAATGAAAACAACAACAACAACCGAAAGCATTCCCTCGAATTTTGCGTAAATATTTACAGACTGAGTCGTATATAAAGAACCGGCGGGGGATGTTAGCTTGTTGCCATAACGATATCTGATGCTTAATTTAATTATTTTATAAATTGCTGAATGTCATTCTGACACTTCTAGTCCAAATTAGAAGTTTTTTGCTCCACAGTAATTTAAAAGATACTAACTCTAACACTACTCGCTCTCAATCCTGACTATGCATTTTAAATGCTTCAACGATATCCCGCCTCAGTCACACATCAACCTACTTCCTATCACACATCACGCGATATTTTTGTTGAATTATGCATCACGCAAGCGCAAAACCATGAAAATCCTTGTAAAAAAAATGACGCCTGTCCACGTGATTCTCTCTAATGAAACACACTTCAACGAACATTAAGAACCCAGTTTTGACCAGGATGCAGTGCACGCTGTGCAGCATTAGAAAACAATAGAAACCTCGCTATCATGTAACCAAAACAATAGCAGACGCGCAGAAAGCATTATGGTCAATACTCGGTCTTTAAGGTTGATTGTACGCAACTCCTCTATCCTGTCAGATCCGCCGCTGTTGGTCGCCATGTTGTTCTCGGTTGTCCTCAGGAGTCCTTTTATTCTGTTTTCCCAGTGTCAAATTATATTTAAAAAAACACCAAGTTTTAAGAATCTACATTCAATTTCCAGGCACACAGAGCTTGAAGGCTTCGTTAAAGTGGATCCAAAAATAGTGGAAAGGCAGTACAACTACAGCAAGACAATGAAAGACCAAATCATGACACATGGAAGAAACGCCCTGGTCGCTGCCATTCTTCTCGGAATGATTCTTGGCGGAATAATAGCATGGAGGACCTGCAAAAAACAAACTATTCCCATTGTGCTTGGAGTTTTAATCGGAGGAGGAACTGCAGTCACCATTGGTGGGCTACCTTATCTCGTTTTGACAAGTGTGGCAAGAAGAGGAGTATATAGATGGGAAAGTCTACAAGAACGGATATCGAAGCTTAAAGCCCTGGATAAGATCATAGATAAGAAGGGCGAGGATTTGTATCCTGTTGCTCACATACTGCTGGATAGAATTATAAACAAGCGTACTAGTGTAAGGGATGGATCAGAGGCACTGATTGAACAGTGCCAGGAATACCAAGGAACATCGTCTTAACAGACGTGTTTAAAAGAAACATTAATATCACTGAACTCTTCCTACCCCTCCAAATTTTGGGTCTAAACCTAAGTAGCGGGAAGGAGAGTTTAAACAGAACTGCCCATAGGGCATGGAAGGGAGAAATTCTGGTCTTAACTACACAGAAAAGTGTATAAGGTCTTGTGTTACACTACCCTATATTTCCCTTTATAATAATACATGTACATGCCTGAAAAGACGGTATTTTTTATACGTGGCATGTTTTACGTTTGTGGTTCTCGGTATAGCGGGCTGGCACTTCCCATAGCCTGTTCCAGGTGTTTATTTTCGCCTTTTCTCACAATCTGAGAAACTGGAACAGGAGAATCTTCCTGAAACTCAGGAACAGACTCATTTCCAGTTCTCCACCAACGCTTCGCGATTCGTGCTCATTCTTAGCTCTTCCACGCCATTTTGGCTTTCTCGTAGCGTTTATGAGATTGCCTGCAGTGCATGTGAGATAAGCATTCTCTGATTTTTCTTTCCGTGGTCGCTTCATATTATTGCATTTTATTCTTGATGGACAAAGAGAAGTAGTGTAAAGTGAAAGTATTTTAATCGTATACATGCCACAAAGTACGATACACCACTCTACAATCAGCGTGAAGAGGACTGAAGAGAAGCGTACATACTCAGCAGCCGTCTAGGTTTTTTGAGACGGCCGCGTTAAATATTGCAGTCGTTAATTGTAACCATTAGGTAATCTGGTATAAAGAACTGTTTTTACTCATTAATTACAGTTTGTCATAAAAAATATTTTTATCCCTAATATATTTATGGAAACATTCACTTTCAAAAAATTACGAAATTTTTCATCGTATTAAACGCTAAAATTTACCACCAAAAATTAAACATGAAAGTCTTCTAGCATACGTGTTATGGTTTGCAAGCATACATTCCTAAACATTACATGATTCCTTTCGATATATAATCAATCGAAAGCGGTCTTAAGTCATTCTTTATGGTCTTTATGTTCCTTGCTCATGATAAGCAATTCGTATAGGCTTTTATAACGAAAGCGCCGGTGTAGTCCAAATGGTTAAAAAGATCCGTCGATAATCAAAAAGTAAAAAAAAAAAAAAAATCAAATGCAACAGACGAACCTGTTTACAGTCAAAAGTTACTTTGACCACTGTAACTTTGTGTGGGATAGCGTTGGGGAAACTTAATCTCCTGTCCTTAATATCAGCTAAGCTTCAAAGATTAGAAAGCGGGGCTGACGGTAGTGCTAGGACGCACGACCTAGCTATTTGTCGATGGTTCAACGTTTTTTAAAAGGGCTTACACCCTGCCGAGTGAACTTGCAGCTAACAAAACGATGACTTAATTGTATTTGTCACGTATCTTTCACGTAACCTTTCTTCGATTGTACATATGGAGCATGCACAAAAACTGGTTTAAATAATCCGTACTTCCAGCCATTGAGAGCTGCAAGTACAAACTGTATGGTCCTTGGCTTAACGACAAGGGACACTGGTAAAGCGACTGAGAACCGCGTGTCCTTGTGGATTCCCCCGAGTTTGACTCTCATGGTATTGTCTTTGCAAACATTCGCGACTTCGATGCTCAATAAGCGAGTTTGCTTCTTGGAAACAACCAGCCTTTTTAAATATCGGATCGTGACCAATAGGCATTTGGATTCGAGAAAACGCGTGGTGCTTTTCATTCCGTAGTCTATAAAATGGCGCGTGCGGATTAGTTTTTCCACGGCCGATCCTCCGCGCTTCTCGTGTTTGTTTGAATGGTGCACCGCGCATGTGCAAAGCTGGACGTCCACGAGTCTATCGACGCAAGTTTTGTATTTACTGTAGAAGCTAAGTCGCGTGTATTTTATCAAGGTGATGCTGTGTTCGCGAACGCTTGAATGTTTAAGATGAACTTCAAATCGTTCTTTCGATTTTACGCCGTAAGCTGGTTCAACGACTAAAACTAACGTAGTAATGTAGTGTTTGCCGACAAGCTCCTGTCTCGGCCGCTCAATTGCTTTTCCTACATATCTGGCACAATTACCGAATCCACTATTGCGTTTTGCTTTTGTTCTACCCACTCCTCGCAAGTATTGCGTCTGTAGCATGTTATTGATTTGCCCGAGGGCAAACTCCGCTAGCCAAATCACATCAGTCGATTGAGGGCTCAGAAGCTTTGTCCAGCCCTGGCATCGACACTTGACATCAGAGGAAAGACCTTTTATATCTGCGCAAGTGCGATTTGGCGAGACAGGTTTAAACAATCCGCTGGCTTCGACATTTGCGCTTTCGTCGTCCGTCATTGCTGCAATAGATGTAAGTGTGTGATGTAAGTCTGAAACCGTGACTAGGCGTTTCTGGTTTAGAATAAGCGCATTCATCCTATCCTTACCAAGCCGCTCTGCAACTTTGTGCGGAATTATCATAAAGAACATTGGGCTGTACACTTCTAAGCTGCCTGGAAGTGTCTCGATCGCGTAGTCCGTTGTCTTGCCACCGTGATCTGAAAGAACAATGCTCAGCGTGTTGTCACTTCTTGCCATTTCCTCAAGGAACTTGGACAAAATAATATCATCACTTCGAATGCGTTTTCCAGAGGGTTCGTGCCCTGTATTGAGATGCGTGTATGCTAGTGCTGGCGCTACTTCTGGGTTTCGATCGACCAGCGAGAGAAACCTCCTAACGTAAAACAAAAGATATTCACTCATCGATCTTCCGTCCCAGCAATGATTATTTTTGTAGTTTCCACTAAAAGGATTTGTAGCACCGAGCTCCTTTAAGATATCACAGGAGAGCAAAGTTAGGCCTTTATTGTCCACGTACGGACTAGTTGCTTGTTCAAAACTTTCAAAGACGCGTTTAAATGCCTCCGTAAAGGGCTTCACTTTTTTCTTGTAATCGGGCGAGAAAAAACTTCCCCATTCATCGAACCAGCATAGGTCCTCGTGCATTAAAGTTTGGTAACCAAATTGTTTGAATATCTCAGTAAGCACATTGATACCGTTCACTCGCTTTGGATTTTTGCCATTGCTGCTAGTGCCTTGTAGGGATTTCCCCGCCATCATGAATTGGGCATTTAGAAGAGTGTACGCCGCATAACTTTGAACGAGCTCAAAATCGAGAACTGTGGCCTGGAAGCTAGAAGCTCTATAAATATCGCGAAGGGACTGGGCCGTCCGTGGCATGGACCGGTAAAAGTGGGATCTTGAAACAGAATCCTCGAGAACAATATTCACATTTATTTTCTTTGCTGAGCGCGTGGTTTTCTCTGCTGCGCGTTTTAAAATTGGCGGGAAAATGAGAGCCTGCTTGACTTTTGTCCTTCCCATTTTACACTTAAGAAGGCAAGAGTTAAAACCTTGGATTGAATTCTGTGTGACTATCCCGGGCAACTCCTGCTCCAGTTCGCCTACGCTGTGGAATTTAAGCCAGTTCTTTTCCTCGTCTGCGATCCCATATTCTGGATCAGAACAACCAAGGAGAATCGGCGATGATTTGGAACAAACGTCTCTCCAGCATGTCACTGACACCTTGTCTCTAGGACTGAACCGGGACTCGGAGAGAAACGTACAGATCGGTCGACTTGCTGGCTTTCTGCATCGAGGCGGCTCGGACGTCAGGTTGTACTCTCCAAAGTATTTGAAGGCCTTGTTACATTCTTCTTCTGTTTTCTTGTGCAACACACAGCTCATGTTAGGCGATGGGAATTTTTCTGAAGATTGTAATCCTTCGTACGAACACTGATGAGTGGCTGTAGAAGTTGAAGAGGCTCGAGCCTGCTCTGACGTTAGTTCTCTGGGATTTCTGTCGTCGTCGGACAACGTACGAAGCCGTTCCTCTAGTTCAACAGCTCTGTGTTTACTGAGGGTTACCGCTGCCTCCGTCATATCGTAGGCACCATGAATCAACAGGTGTTCAGGATAGGCTTCAAGGAGTGTCTTTTTATCTACAACGGAAAAAGCGGTCATGATGGCTACACAAGAGGCAAAGAAGTGTCGTCAGTCTTACAGGTTAAAAGTCAGGCTTAAGTTTCTTCCAGTCTAAGGAATTAATAGAGGCAGCGTAGCGAAGTCAGCTGTTAACTCCTGAGGCCCCAGAATGGGTCTGTGTATCCCATATCCCGTCAATTTTTGGCCTAAATATCTCGTGTCCCGTAAATTTCAACTTCAGCAACTATCAATTTTCCCACTCGATATCAAGGAAAATTTGTTCTAAACTTGACTTATCCAGTTAATGTTTCCCCACAAATATCCCGTTTCCCGTGAGTTTTTTTACCTTAATATCCTGCATTCCCCCCAAAACCCCTTGTGTGACTTGTCTGTGGAGCATGGAGCGAAAACATTAGCCCTAGATTTCACGGACTAAGGAAGAGAAGGATTGTTTGTATTGTAAAACAACTCACCGAAGGAAGACAGATCATATTTCTGGCGTAGAATTATGATAGATTCCAGGCCCCACTCGGGATTTCGGTAAAGAAATATCAGTGACATCACAGCAAGGCATAGCAGAGTAAAAAACAGTTGTTTCTGTAAAGAGATAATATAACCAATTTACTAAAGTGAATATTCGAGGTTAGTATCCCATCAGGTTGGTGCTTATTTAATGTTTTCCGTACCATAAGGATGAGATACTAGTTCAAGGCAGCGATTCGTGAGGAAACGATTCATGAGGTCGAAGACAGAATTAGCTGCCACCTGATAGAAATCAAGAGCGAATAAACTAACAGTTTTAGAAGAATTCTAACTAAACTTCCTTCAAGTAATGATTTTCAATAATTATTTCTGTACATATCAAGTAGTAATACGCTTAAAGGACATTACGCACAAACTAAATTATCATTTAAAACTTGCAGCTAAGTACTCACTTTCATTAATTTATTAACAATTTTGAATTCTTTAAAGCCACTAAACAAAACGCGAATTTCCTTCTGTTAGACTTCACGGGATTCAAATTTTTCTGTAATATTTCTAAATCCTTCCAAATTAAACTTCGGAAGAAACGAAAAAACGTCGCCATTTTGTAGACGACCTCCGCTCAGTTCTCACCAATGGTCGATAGTGTGCGACAGCTCAGCCAATCAGATTGCATCTAAATTAGTAGAATTATACTAAGCAGAAAATTTGATTTACTGATCTGTTCTAATAATTTGGCGAGTCGTGAAAAAATTGTTCTGTAGTTGACGATTTCTCGGCCGTTATTCTCAACAACCGGCTACTTAACAAGTTACATATATTGAAATTATAAAGAGAAATTACACGTTGATCACTCTTGTAACTAAAGTAAAAGCAGAATAGTTAACCTCTTTAACGCCATAGTTCTTACTATTGATAGAAGACCCCTCGAGAAAAAGCATTCCTTCATCCTGTCACCTTCAAGAACATCAACGTTAGACTGCCACTCGTCCGGTCATGAGATGTTGTAAACAAAACTGGTGCTGGACCACGCGGCTATTGCACGGGGCACGTGCTGTTATACGGTGCGAGTCAGTCCTTGTCAGTCTTTAACCCCAGGCGGTTTGAGCAGCTTAATTAAGAACACAAACACCTTAACTTCAGACTGTGTGGGTCATGAACAAGGAACTAAATGCGACAGGCATCTCTTAAATTAACCCGAACAATTTAAAGAAAGGAAAAATTGACCGATCAGCGTGAAAAGACCAGAGCAGTACCTTTGTGGGTTCCTCATATACGTCGGTTATAAGTTAAGGCGTTTTGTGAAGCCGGTGTGTTGTGATCCGTGCAGCGATCGTTCAACGAATCTTTGTCTTATAACAAAACTATGGAATTAATCTCCCGAGCGAACAACAAAGAGATATAAAGTTCTTATGAATAATCCCTTGATTTCTTAATGAATGGATCACTGAACACCACCTGCTCCCTGCTGTTGGTGTCTAGAATGCCTGCTTTTAAAAGGTTTCCGAACATATATCGATTACTATGGAATTTCGACGAACTCTTCCGGCGGTAGTTCAATGGAGAGTGTCCCTGCTTTGGAAAGGTTCCCGTAACTGGGAGGCGTCATGGTGAAGCGTCTACCTGCGGTTGTACAGGTCTGAACTTGTGGCTTTATTGACAACGCCATCAAGTAAATTTTCTTTTAAGCTCATTTTAGGGCTATTAACTAGCCAAAGGGGACATTTTACTGATGTAACATCAATTTCTCAGAACTCAGTGAGATTGCGCGAAATTTAGTAGAATCAGAAAAATAAACAACAGAGATCTACTGTTTAATATTCTCGTGTTTGAGTTAGGTTTTGTTGTTAGTGCACGCATGTTGGTCACCGGTCATTAGTTACTTGCAAAAAACTGGCTTGTTGCGTGAAATTTTCTCAAGAACTTAAAATTTCATTTTGCGATTTTTCACGACTTAATATTATATTTCGCGAACTTTTTAAACATGCGTCTCTTGTAATAAAGAAGCAGAGGGAAGCCAGAATATAGGCGCTTCATTCGACCAAGTTTCTGTTAAATTTCCGGAAATTTCCAGTGGACAACCGCGGTACACTCAAATTTTCTAAAATCCCTACCCGGGAATTCCCGTTCCATTTGTCCGGAGTCCTGAACTTTCGCTTGAATGGAAAGCGCCCTGGCAGGACCGTGAACACTTGGCAGTTTTTTTGTACGTTGTTTTTAAGTGACCATAGAAAGAAGACTCTTCCTATTAACAAGAGTATGTAGTGTTTTTACACTGCATACGATTTGCATTTTTACAGTGTACCACGCTAAGATGAGGCTTCGAATTCACTCTATAGTCATCCAAAAAAATGTAGAAAAAAGTGTCAAGTGTTCACGGTTCGATTGCCATTATATTACTGTAATATCTCGAAAATGTCGTCAACAGTAAGATTATTGTTTGTCCAAATTAGTTCCAAATCTTAGAGATTATTTTAATGTACTTTCTGGAAACGATACTCTCTGTGTTCTGAAGTTAAAGCATGTTAAACGCTGTGAAGTTGATGGAAGTGTACATGAGTGTCACACTGAGCTGAATAAGTTATGTTATTGGACCTTACTGGAGCCCTGATTAGTTCTGATTATGGACAGAACGTTAGCTACTGAGCTAGGTCTGATAAATGACTGTTTTAAGTGTTATAGCCAATACCTTATCACTTTTTAGATTTTTTATCCTGACTTCTTAAAACTTCTCAATTGTAAATTATTAGCCCTAGAAAAATATAGAAAGCTGGTTGTACAACTGCGAAATATTTTCGTTATCTGTGTTTCTGATCTTGTACTGTTCATGAAAAGGTTTCGTGTCGATACAGTGCTTTGTTTCAAAAGGCCTTGAAACTTGCGATCACGTTAGTACAAAACAGTTGTCTTGCGCGCTTAAAATAATGAGGAGTTATTTCGAATCGCAGTTGTATACCCATATTTAAATTACAAAAATACCAGCTAGTTCTCTTCCGTTGTCTTTGACTACCAAATGTTTCTTTACCAAGGGCGCAATATCTTTACACAGCTGATTTTGCAGAGTTACTTATACTCGTTAAATTGGAACGAGATATATAGAGAACATAGTGTTTTGTTACTAACACACTTTTAGAATAAATAACACCACAAAGCAAGCCGAAAGATTTCAGACAAAGGTAATAGCCTTTAGAAAATACGCGTGTTGATTGGTATAAATCGTGTTTCTATTTAACAGTTACATTATGAGCTCGAGATTGATATGAGGTGACAGACGATGAGGCCGAAGGCCGAATCAGCTTTCACTCCTCATAGAAGTCTCCATCGAGCTCATAATCTAATTGTTTTAGCAGATCTCTTGCTTAAATTTTACTCAGCTAACCATTTCCAATTCTTTTCAGTACATTGTATTTAACTTTACGCTTTAGAAAAATCGCGAGGACTGAATTGTCGTTTGGAATTTACAGCTCTACAGCCTTTTCAAGTGCTATTATGATCACAAACTAAAGATTTAGGGCCTCTTCAAATGAGCCCAGTAACCGGGCTGGTAACCGGCCGAATTTTGATCAGGGAAATTTCTGCCGCCCGGTCGACCAGGATGAAATTCAAGACAATAACTATGCCTGATTTTGTCGCTAGGTTGCGAGAGCGAAGCTATTTTGTCAAAAAAGTTTCGTCCCGGTCACTCGGGCTGGACTGTTCATATGGGAGAATTTTCATCCCGGTTACCGAGATCTCGGTCCCAAAAACCGAGATCTTAACCGGGCTAGCCCGGCAGTTTCCGTCCTTCTCCTTCCGTTTGCCCAATTTTCTTGTATTTTTTGCTGGACGGCTTTAGATCGCCCTTGGTTGTTGTTTAGACAAGAAACAACAAACACAGCACTAGCTGTATGTTCGATGCTATTGACATTTCTGCAAGAAGTTACGCATGACATATCAGTCTGGCTCTAAAATTACTTCATCGCCGTCAAATAAATCATGATAGGACAGATAATCTGACTTTTTACTGAAGTCCACTTTGAATTCATTTATCTAATTTAAGAATTTTCAAAAGAATATTTCCAGCCTAAAGTCGTAGAAAAATAAGACTATTCAGCCTGAGCGGGAAAAACAATATTCTTATAGAAAAAGGAAAGTAGTGTACCATATTTGGTTTTTTCCCCTGATTTAAGGGAAAGCCGGGATGGCGGCGTCCGGAGCATGCGCATGTTAGTTATCATGGACTGACTCCTGGCTCTCTCTTTGGCCGCCAGGGTTCATCCTCTAGAAAGAGTGCGCGGAGATTGGAGAGAGTTCAGGGACTGGACTATATGATGACGGGTCCGACTACACAGATGTAACGTTTCGTGCTCGCGGTATGACTCTCATACGACAGAGAGAGAGAAGAGAGTTCGAGTCCCAAAGTGAACAAGGATTATTTTTCATTTCTTCGTTTGTTTTTCTTGTTGTTATTTTTTGGCGTGTACTGATCCCGGGGTACTGATATTACATACCAATTATGATTTCAATTCGGTCAATGGGTTGAAACCATTGACCGAAACGGCCATTAGTTGTACATGTATACACCGGATTTCAGACGTTTCGTGACTTGGTTACAACTTGTCAGGCTCTTTCGTCAACCTCAAGATCATATTCCAAAATACACGCCGCATCAAATCTTCCTTTCCATGAAAGATCGCTTGAACCGCTTTCAGAGGTCCAAAGTCATCTATAAAGCTGATTGCTGGGACTGTGATGAATTTTACGTTGGCAAAAACAAAAGGAAAACTCCAGGACAGAAAAACAGAACATTTCAAGGCCCTCGCTAAAAGTGACCACTCATCAGCCATTGCTGATCATGTAAAAACTACTGGTCACAACATAAAATGGGATTATTTTGACATTTCAGAACGTCCGGAAAAACTGACTTTCTTTGCAAAACTTAAAGACACTCTGTTCATTCAAGAGCTAAAGCCTTCTCTTAATGTCAATGTCAGTAGAGAAGTTGTAGCTGTTACTCTTCAGGTTAACGTACTGCTGCAGATCATTTTTCTCAGTCGAGGTTCCAGATTTCTAATATTTACGATATATAGTTTTCATGTCTGACTTTGAAAATGTATGTAAACTAGC